CCTGGCACAGGCTGCCCAGGGAGGTGGTGGAGTCTCCTTCTCTGGAGACGTTCAAAACCCGCCTGGACGCCTTCCTGTGTAACATCATCTAGGTGTTACTGCTCTGGCAGGGGGATTGGATCTTTTGAGGGCCCTTCCAATCCCTAGCATACTGTGATTCTGTGTGATACTGTGATCTCAACATGAGACTCAGAAGTGGCCTTGATGCAGAACAAAGGTGAAGAATCTCTTCCCTTGAACTGCTACCTGTGTACTTGTTTGTACAGCTCAGTATACAGCTGGCCTTCTTTGTCACAAGGCCATATTGCTGAATCCTGTTCAGTTTGCTATGCAACAGCATTCCCAGGTCCTTTCCTGTAAAGCTACTTTCCCTCTAGTTAGCTCCGACCTGCCTGTTGTTGGGTGATTGTGTCTCAGGTGCAGGATGGTGCATTTGCTTTGCTTAAACTTCTTGAGACTTCTGTCACCCCACTTGTCCAGTTTGTTGAGGACCTTCAGAATATCAGTCTCTGTTCTCTTGCATATTGGCTGCTTCCCGTTCACATGGTTTTCCCTTCTCCAAATCAGTACTGTTGGGAACTTGCTGAGTGTCAGCTCTGCATCATAAAGATCACTAATATAGTAGTTAACCAATTCTAGCCTCTGGAGAACACTTTTACCAGGTAAAATTTCACTGATAACTGCTCCTGGAGCTTGGAAGGCCAGGCCATCTTCTACTTATCTTGCATTCCAAATACTTATTCCGTATTTCTCTGATTTGGGTACAAGGACATTTCTGGGACATTTCTGTCTGAACTCCTGCTGTGAAATAATCTTTCCGAGCTAATACAATGTTTTATATAGGTGGCCCATCGTCACATGGCTCCTTTAGAGTACGCCAAGTTACTGCACACATCATACACAGTATAGTTACTCCCACATTAAGAATGGGAAGAACTGAGTTTCAAGACAAGTTAGTGAAAGCCTTCTGTTTCATGTAAGTTTTCTTCACTTTTGAGCAAGATGACAAAAGCTGTAAGAGTTATCAGTCAGTGTGGTTTGAATCAAGACCTGTGACTTTGGCTTTCAATTGATAAGATCTTTGACTACAAATACATTTTCAGAGTAAGTTTGCGTAAATAAAGGTGGAAAAGTAAATACTTACTTAAGCATCTAGCCTTGTATTCAACAGACGCTGCTCCACTGTGACTTTATGCAAATCCTACCAAATCACTCAAGTATAGATACTTTCATATGAAAACTCCCTTTCCATTGGTGTAATTCATATTGCATACATCTGGGAACCTTGGCCTTCCTTCAGTACCAAGTATGAAATCAGGTCTCCTTGGATAGTGAGAGGAAAGAAACAAATCATACTAGACAGTCTTGTCTTTTCAAGGACAGGAGCCAATCTTCATGAACAATCACCTTTTCAAGTTGTGTTAAAAAAAAAAAAAGACATTAAGGGCAGATTTTATTGTAAGAGAGAAGGGGAAACCAACCTAAAGCGTTACTAAAGCATGTGATGTTATAGCATACAGTTTTTAAGTACATGTCAAATACCACAAAAGTATGTGGATAGGTACTTGTTACTCAATAGTTAACTCATGTACATCAGGCCTCCTATGATGAGCAAAACAAAACCCCTTTTTCTAATCCTAGACTTTCTCTCAGACACTTTTCCCCACCCCCCAACACTGGCATTCTCACTGTTACTTGCCGTTGCTTTCCAAACCTAGATGTAGCAACTACTCTAAGTGCATGATTAGATTAACTGCAACTTTTAGAAGGTGAATGGCTGCTAGACATAATGTAATGCAAGCAACTGCCTCTTGTTGTAGAGACTGAACATCATCTTCCCATTCATTGTATTTCTACCTACCTGTGAACTAAATTACAATCTCACATGAGCTGTAGGAAATATGGACTATAAAATACTGACCAAGCCATCCTGAGTTACCATCAGCAAGTACGATGAATACTTTCAGAAGTTCTCTAAGGTTAATTGCGATGGGAAGCTCTATCAGATACATGAAAAGTGGGCTCATTCTCGCTGAGGATTTCATATTGACATGTTCCCAGACTTAAACAAATTAACTAGGATCAGATGCTAACAATAACAAAGGACTCCTCTGAATCATCTATTTCAAAGGCTGGGTATTTAAAGCTATCATAAGAAAAAAACATTTTGAAGAGAATGATACTGGAGAAGGGGTTTGCTATCTTCTCACTGGAGTTAAGCAGCCATGCACTGTAACCCGTATTTGCTGTTCATGTGCAAAAGCCTGTGTTTCTAAAATAGTAGCTTCACCTTCTGTTTCAATGATAAAAAATAGGTCAGAAGTCAAGTCAAGCACTACTTCATTTCAGACTTGATGGTGGATTTGAATGGTTTAAACATTACAAGCTATGTTTCAGAGCCCAAATAGTTATGCTTAAACATGGGTACAGACAAAATTTTGTGGTGAAAACTCTTAGCATGCCGTATTGTGTTACGTCCAAAACAACCCATTCCCAAATGCCCAAATAAAACTAAATGATTGTTCATTGCATGATGATACCATTAAGTGTGCAACTTTGGTTCATGCAAAGTCTCATTTTATGGACGCACTGCTAATAGTCCATATATTCCTGAAGATTCTGCATATGTGAGCTTTTCAGCCATGTTCTTTCCATAACACCAAATGGATACTGTGGTCCGGCATACTGGTGGCAAAAACTAAGCCCATATCATTTTGGCCATTTAGTCCATTTAACCAAGATATTTCACCAGCCAAAAAGCTTGAACCTCTCTTTGACTTTCTATACTCTGGTAGAGGCCAGCGGCTTATCAGTTTTTCTGTCCTCAAGTCCATTATATACAGGTATCTGTTATCAAACAGTAGAGCAAATATCTCTCCAAAGCCCAGCAAAGACACATTTGAGAAGTCAGGAGGTTTGATAACCCTAGAAGACAAGACAACATTGTTAGAAACTCTATCACAACATAGTCGTGAACCTGCACTGCTAAAACAAAGCTTTGTGTGTCTAAAGAAAGTAAGTGTCTAAAATTCTGAAAGGACTTGCACTGGATGCAAGTTTTTTCAAATTAAGCGACTGAACACTTAGCTGCAGGCAAGCCTGTGGTTTCAGTTCTGGCTTTGTTCATTCAGGACAGACCCTTCTGAACAGTAAGGTTAAGGTTTGAAATGGATTCAGCATAGCACAAAAAAGAAAAAGCCTTGTTTCCACATACACACAGAAGAGAAAACGTACTTCAAATTAAGAGGTAAACCCCCTTCTTATTCTTTGGACCACTCTTTTTAGAAGCTGGAAATAGAACACATAAATGCTTTCACGTGACAAGAAGATAAAATAAATAATTCAGGATTGGTCCTTAACAGAATGCTGTTTTACTGATGCTTAGCCTAAGTTAAACATTTTCATCTTAGGGAGAAATAAAAGTATTTGTTAGTTACCCTACACTTTTGGGATATTTTGGCCTTAATAAATAAAACTTGAAACAGAAATTGAAGAGTGTAAGTTTTCCACAACTGACTGAGCATTTGATCACAGCATTACATAAAGCACAGAACTCAGGCACAAAAAATGTATGGATATGCAAATCTGTTCTCAGCAGTAAGAGAGCATCTTTCTCTTTTGAAAGATGGGAAGGTAAACTAAGAAGTGAAAATACTCAGTTTTTCTTACTGATAAGAAACACTTTTCTTGCAGTACATCTTCCTGTGGTAGATATTCCACAAAAATTTGGGCCATTTTAGTTAAGAGTCAGCTAAAAGTTCTAAAATGCAATTTTTTCTTTAATGTTACGATCTTTGATGCCATTTCCAACAGACAGAGCCTCATTCTTTTTATGGGAACAGAACAGCATCCTGTTTGATCCCTTACTGCAGTCTGATAAATTTCCCTATCCCACAGTGTTATCAAGCAGGATATATCAATACTGCTATAAGGAAAAAGTAAGAGTCTTATTAATTTCTTGTCCCACCAAAGAAACGCCACAAATGGCTGCCTGGTTCTCTATAGAGCAGTCTCCACGGCAACATTAACTTCTAGTCACTAGTTTCACATTCACAACTACAGCACTGCAGTCTGATTTAAGTCTATATTGAAACTCCTCAGCCAATCGAGTGAAAATACGGAACAGGACTTAGCCTGTGGCCAGAAACCAAAACAGCAATCACATGATTCATATTAACAGACGATAAATTAGGATTAAACCTGCCAATATGTGCAAAGTAAGATCTTCGCAGAACTTCCTAATCACGATTCTTTTGGCCTACAACTAAAGTAAGTTAGTAAAAGTAGTATGTTCTACTTGTTATTTATTTAAAGAAGACTAAGCCTGAAGCTGAAAGATTTACCTGAGAATATCATAGCTGGCAAAGTCCCACTGGTATAATCCTAGTGCTGAACTGCACACTATGTATTTACCATCAAAGTGCAGTCTGGGCTGTAGGGAGATGCTGCGATCTTCAGAAACTGACAGTGTTTTTAAGCACTTGCAGTTTATTTCCCTTCCAATAGGCCAAATCTAGAATTAAAACAACATTCACATTATAAACTATTATACAAATACAGCAAGCCTTACAGTCTCTCTTTAAGCATCACGTAAATATGTGCATATTTTTTCAGAAATATTTCTCTCCTTTAGGTGGGAACACTTACTCTCTTAAGTGACTTGTCTTACAGTATTGTGCAGTATGTGGTGTTTCTAGCCTAAAAAATTCCAGTGAAAATGAGTGCCTTAAAAGAACAGCAAAAAACCCACCAAGCATCCCATTGGACAGAAAAGTAAGTGTTTCAGTTATGAAGCCCTTCCACAGCCACAAACTATTTGCAGCACCTTCCAAACCAAAGGTCCGCAGCAGTAACAGTACCTGCAGTTCAGTGCTGCACTGCCACCTGAGCGCACCAGCCGTGCACTGAGAACACCTAGTTTATGCGCTAACATTCATGTAGAGTTATCATTTAAACACAAAGGAAAGCACTGTAAAGTTAGCTTCCAAACAGCTGCATGTCTTGTATGCAACTTTACAAGCAGGAAATATGAGAGAAAATAGTCTTATATTAACTGTAAATTTCAGTGAAGCACTCACGCATTCTGTTCCCGTGGGTACCAAAATTATGTATGCTACGTGGTACATACCTTGATTTCGTACTTATCTGCACTTAGAAGAATATAATCGCCAGGACTATGCATAAGAGATTTGACTTTGCACTTCTGCAAAACTACCTGTAATTGAAGAATGTTATGATTTATGTTGATGCAGTTAAATAACCAAACTTCATCTGCATTTTTCACTTGACTGAAAACCTGCATACTGTACTCTTGCATCAGGGCAATAGAAATACTTTCAGCAACTGAAAGTAAACTACAGTTTATATTTTTCTTGTTCCTAATAGTGACAACTTAACTGTATTAGTAAGTGAACTTCACTTCCAGAATCACCCCCTCACACCCTCCAAGTTTTGAAATACTTAGGAGAAAAATGCTTTTCATGCTCAGATTTTGGTTATGAAGATCATCAATTTTGCCACATAATTTTAAAAGCAGCTTTCTTTCAGAACCATTGTTTTTATTCAGTCTTTGAATCAAACACTGAGTCCTAGTATTACTCCAGCTGCTTTGGAATAGAAATATTTCTAATCGTCTGAAATGTCTACTTATGGCTGAAGTATTTTTTTCTGCTGAAATATTATTTTGCAGTATTTCCTGATGTTCTTCAGATTCTCCACCTAGATGCAGGGTTAGGATTAGGAAAGAGAAATTCAGAATACATTACAAACTTAGCGCAAGAAAGTGTTTTGCAAGGTTAATTAAAAATCAATATGCCCACCTTAGTGACCCATTCTGTGTGTCCAGTAAGGGTATTCAGGCACGTTCCTGTTGATAAGGCCCATACTTTCACAGTGAAGTCTGCAGAGCCGCTGACTAGAATATCAAGTTCATCATTGTAATCCACACTAAAAACTAAAAGCAAAGATAATACTAAATAAGGAATACCAGTCTCTATGCACACAGTTTTCTGTAAGACAGACCCTAACTAGTAGCTTCTATATGAATTTAATAGCCTCTAGATTCATATGCTACTACAGCTTTACCTGTTCTTGAACTGAGTATGTGAACTGTTGCTCTGTATTCCTAAGATTACACTGCAAAATTCCTGATTTTTGTCCAAGTTAAGAGCACATACATCAGTGCTTCCTTGATGGCTGTATTATGGCAAAGCATAACTTAAGCTAGTTCCTATTTTAAGAGTTCTAGTAAATCAATTCCAGCAGGATTAGTACATCTGATATATCTCATTACTCACAGAGGAACAGACCTACAGGCGAGTTGATGATATTTTGCAGTAGAGGACAGAGAAGTAAATTGCAAATGCAGATTCCCAGGTTCTGTTGTGCTGTAAGCACATCTCCAGTCTGGGAATATAAAGAAATACCATGGCCACGTGCTCCTTGCTACCTAGGGTTTGCACCTTTTTGGTAGACTCGAAAGTAATGAATAACCATAGCATTTAGGATTATCTTCATGCCGCTGCAAAACACTACAGGGCTAAGCTTCGGCATTATTCAAGGACAGACAGACATAAACCTGTTCCGGTCGCTTTCCCTCTCACCTGAAAAGGTTACCTGGGAGAGAGCCTAATAAAAAACCCAACAAACTATCACACAAAGAGCTAACTTAAATTATAATTTGTTTGATGATGATGTATGTTACTTGACTGGTAAAATTATGATTTGATTGTTGAAGTTCAACATACCTGCACCAGTATGTCCTCTAAAATGCTGTGTCTTTGCCCCAGTGCTCCATTCCCAACAGGCTACTGTGTTATCAAAAGATCCCGTTACAAGTTTTTGTTCATCAAACTTCACTGCAGCACAAGTGTGTGTCTGGATACCATATATGCACTGACCTGTGCTTACATCCCACAGTTTTGCAGACAAGTCATCTGATCCTAGAATATAAACGAACAGGGTAATTGAAAGCAAAAAGTATTTCCAATCCTATACTCGCCTTCCATGTTTGTCCTAAATACAGTATTTTCATGGAATCACAGAATGGTTATGGTTGGAAGGGACCTCTGGAGGTCCCCTCTACTCAAACAGGACCACCAAGATCCAGTTGCCCAGGACCATGACCAGATGGTTTTTAAATGTTGCTAAGGATGGTCTCCATGGTCTCCCCGGGCGACCTGTTCTCAACCACTCTCACAATAAAAAAGTGGTTTAGAGGGAACCTCCTGTGTTTCAGTTTGTGTACACTGCCTCTTGTCCCACCACTGGGTGCCACTGGAAAGAACTTGTCTCTATCTTCTTTATACCTTCTCAGGTATTTCATACATTGACAAGATCCTTCCTGAGCGCTCTCTTCTTTAGGATAAAAAGGTCCAGCTCTCGCAGCCTTTCTTCCTATGAGAGGTGCTCCAGTCCATCATCTTCATGGCCTTCATTGGACTCTCCAGTGTCCATGTCTGTCTCATCCCGTTCAGGCCTCCTCAGTACACAGTACTAAAGGTCTGGCTTTGTCAGTGCTGAGTGGAGAGGAAGGAACACCTCCCTCAACCTACTGGCAATGCTCTCCAAAGCAGCCCAGGTTACTATTAAAACCTTTGCAGCAAGGGTATGTTGGTAGCTCATGTTCAACTTGGTGTCCGCTAGGACTCCTGGGTCCTTTTCTGCCAAGGTGCTTTATTATTCGGTGGTCCCCAGCACATACTAGTGCCATGGAGTTGTTTCTCCTCAGGTGCAGGGCTTTGCATTTTCCCTTGCTGAACTTTTTCTCATTAAATAGTTACTTCCAAGGTGCTTGAATGGGGAATAAACCTGTTTTAAGTGTCAGCACTAGAGCAAAGCCTCTTCTTGTCATATTAAACTACTAGATATATGGCCTTCCACTTCCTTTATATTCTTTTCGCACCTTCCACAGATTCCAGCACTGCCTCTGACTGACAGCATCTGCTAAAGCAGCCACGTGGAAGTTTTATGTGATGCATCACTCTCAGGTCTGCAGAGCCACTGACTACTGCAAGCTTTAGTTTGCTTCAGGTAGGAAGAGTGTCCACCAAATCTTGACAGACAGCAGATGAATATGAGACCCCATCACCTGCCAGTTTCCTTTCTCTCTCCAAAGTTATTTTTTTTTTTTTAATATTAAGAAACCTCATAACAGTAAGTCCAGACTGCTGGCTTTGGAGTGTGGAATAAAACCTCGGAGTGTTACGCTTGTTTCCCCTGGTGGTTTCAGCAAAAAACTGTGCCACTTTTCAGAAAGTTTCGATGATGCCGGTTCTTGTGTATTTACATTCCTTGCTGAGCAGGAAAGTGAAAGACTGGCTAGAGTCTAGTTGTTGGTTTCTAGTAACCATGTTAATCTACCAGCAAATGTGGAGGTACTTAGCCAGTATTTCCAATTTATTCTGAAGCATTGTCATATCAGTGATTGAGAAATGCTTGGAATATGAAAGCAGTTACTTAAGGTTACTTAAATATTCTTTCATATTCAAGGTTTCTTATTGGTTCTGGCTGTGTTTTACATTCAAATTGAAATCTTGAACCCTGCAGTCTTCAGGGAGGAAGCTGAAATTATCATTACAATGTGCAAGTCAGACTATTAGCAAGGTTAACCTTGCTTTACAGGTCCACTTCTGCTTTACAGGTCTTCATACAAGCACTTATGTTAAGAACTGAGAATGCTTAAAAACTGTATTAGAGAAATTGTGTTGTTTCGAGAAGACAAGACTTTTTCCTGCCACACCTAGGGAGACTGCAATGACTGCACAGCCCAAACAAGGTTCCCTTAACTGGAAGTTATTCCTTAAGAGAATAACTCGTGTATCTGTACTTCTCAAATGGTCTCACTAATCTCAAGCATGATACTTGCTGTTATTGTTATTTTAACCAGCAGTGAAACTGGTCTCCTTGTTTTCCTATTAAAGTGATTAATGAGTTTCTTAGCATGTCAGATGTTTCAGAAATTTAAAAAAAAAAAAAAAAAAAAAGCAGCTCTATGAAAATAAATTAAAAAAAAAAAAAAAAAGAAAGCAGCTCTATGAAAATAATCTGCCTGGTAAAGGAAAAACTGATGGTCATTAATCATAAGGGGGGAGGGGAAGGGGGAGAAAAGATAGAATTGTAAGACCCCAAGTTTTCTATTCTTCCTACCTGTACACAGAAGTCCATCTTTATAGTAAAGTGCATATACTCTGGCACTGTGTCCAATTAAAGAGGATGTCTCAAAGGCTTCGTGGTCCTTCAGTTGCTTCATCCTTAAAATAGCCTTCAGGTAAACTTTCTTCCAATGCAGAGGATCCTGAACAGAGTCATCTATTTGCCAACCCAAATTCTTGCACGCAGTCTGCCACACCTCTGTACAGGCACTTATAACCTTATTCCACTGCTTAGAGACGAGGCAACACGTGAGTAAGGTCTGAGGATCAAGCCATTTTAACAGATAAAAACTAAGTTCCAATGGAAGGAGTTTGAGGAAGTCCCTCTTGAGGAGAATCTCTAGATTATTGGAGAGGTGCCTGAGCTGGACTGCTCCACTCAAGCTAATCAGGTGATCCAGAGTTTCATTTTTCTGCAAGTCCGTCAGAGAAAGAAATGCAATAGAAATGTTATCAAGCCATGCTTCAAAGTCCTTTTTCTCCATAAGGTTATGGAAAAATTTACCTGTGATACATCAAAATACTGTATTAGTTCCGTTCAGAAAACAAAGTAAGCATCACATTTTTATTACTGGCACATCAGTATTCCAAGTGGCACGTTAACACATAGACTGAGGTGATCAAATGCATTTTAAAATATTCATTAGGTTAGGACTAAGCATTTGCATACTCTTTGAACTATCATTTGTCCACATCAGACTTAGAAGTGAATTGTATGGAGCTAATGAATGTTAGCATTCTTTATGAATGTTAACAACATTCTCTTTGTAGGTTAACACTTTCAAATTCTGAATCCAACAAGGTAAGGGTTAGTTTAACTTTGAAATCCATTGCAGCAAATAAACACTGTCTTGCAGTTTACTTGTGGATTATACTGATAAAGGTAAAAAACATATAAGCAGAGTGATGAGCTAGTTACTGACAGAGCTTAATTTATACCTTTGTCCTGAGCTATTTTAAACACAAAGTAGGTAACTGTAGGTTTTGTTAAAGAAGATACAGAGATATCGGAAAAATTGTGTCGAAGGGTATGTTGGCCATCTTTCTATTTGGCTCATATAAAGACTGTAGATTGTGCTGGTATAGTGTCAGTTTTGACATGCTTGGACTGCTTTGACCTAATCACATTTTAAAAAAAAAAACCCCAATCCCTAGGGTTTTTTTTTCCTTATCAAACTCAGGTTATTTCCAATAAAAAAGAATTAACTGTGAAATTGAAAGCTTGAAATACGACCTTCTGAACTACATGATCTGTATGCAATTATACTATCTTGTTTGTTCCCACACTAAGCTTGGACAAGTGTGTAACAAGATAAACATCAGGCAAACAGTTACAAAGCCATAATTATTTATTTTCTCTGGAAGATCTAATTCCATTCATTAGACAACTGGCTGAATTTAATTCAAACCTCCCAAACCCAAAGAATTGAGGAACTTTTTTGGGGAGTCCATAACGTGTTTATGTTTTGAAGATAAAATGTCTGTTTAACCTTCACAGAGTAAGATCTTAAAGAACACCTCTTAACATGGCATAGTGGTACAGAAAAGTAATCGTCCCTATGAAAAGCTGTCCGTGGCGTGCAGTTGCTGATCACAGCACAAGAAGGCACTGGGTGTGCACAGAAACAGCTGCTCCTGTCAGGCCACAAGTTCCAGCGGTCCCTTCGGCTGCGGAGAGCACTGCCCAGCTTCCCTCAGCACCAGTGCACAGGCTGGGTTTGCTGTTCTAACGGGCACGCGCTCTCTTTAAAACAACAATTTCTAGCAGGCTCCCTACGAATGAAGAAAAGGCGACGGCTACGGCGTCCGCT